ACTAAATACACATTCACATGTGTGAATGAAACAAAACACAACTCAAGGTAGGTTTTAGATGAGGAAACAACATTATAACTAGAGCCTGACCAATATATCGGTTGGCCGATATTATCGGCTGATATGGGCAACTTTAGGCATATCGGCTATCGGCCGATATGCTTGCTGATAGGGGCCGATATTTCACGGGGGCATGTTATACCTCGTTATAAAGCTTAGACTCTCTACATTCTGTTCATTTAATCCAATTTACAGACAGATAAATGTCCTAATATGTGGCTCCACATCAGTATTTATCTACGGAGTAGAGATGCGCGGATTGCGGTTACAACCGCGGTATCCGCGGTTAATCCGCAGGTCGGGCGGATGACGTGACGAAAAATTATATTTTAATTAAATTCGGGCGGGTGGCGGTTTAACTACTAAAAAAAAAAAAAAAAAAAAAAAGTTATTGTTAGTATTGTTCCCTACATCTGAAAAGACGAGTCTCTGTCTATGCTTGTAGTATGAAGTGTACGTCATATCCTTAATTAGCCCATTTGACCTCGTTTTTATGTTCTGAAGGTTAAGGTTGTGTCGGGTTATTGATGCCTAAGGTTTACGAGGCACATATTATATGCAGTTTATTTTATTATTTCTAATTTATTTCAGCTGTTTGCCAACACATAAGTGGCTATAGGGCCATATTTATTTAGTTATGCATATTTTTTCTTGCCTATTTCAATTGGAATATAAAAAGGGCATTGCCTGATTTCAATAAAGGTTCATCTGGATGAGATGATCTGTCTATTTTGTTTCGATATCAGATATATTTTAAAACACGCAGACATTATAGCGTAGACTGCCACTCGGGGTTTTTAAAACTTAAAGAAAGACCGATGAAGTGAGGCTATGACTTTGAAATAACATCGGGCAATGGCAGAATGTTCAGAATGTAACAACATCCAACACAGGCAAGAAGGTTCAAAAACAGCCTAGTCGGAAAACGTTGTCAATTAATTAGCTGCGCAAGAAAACCAGGTAAGTTTGGGGTTGTTGCGGACAATTAAGAATGCGAACATACACGCTGAGCGAATATTGGAATGAATGAGCTATAGAGTTTGCATTTTTATCGAGGCTCCTTAGTTTGTTTGCTGTATGATTGTTCTAAAATCTAAAATCAATCGGCGGATGGCGGGCGGGTGCGGTTTTGAAAACCTTCGGTGCAAAATGGACAGCAGGCGGATGATGAGTTTTGTATCGCGGTTGCGGATGAAAAAATAGCCCATCCGCGCATCTCTACTACGGAGTCATTTGTCTGTGTGTGTCAGTACTGTCCCTGAACACACCACAGAGTCGCGTCACTCACGTGTGTTTGTTTACACCTGCAGACACAGATCCAAACACTGAGATTATTTTTATTGAGTCTGGATTAAAAGGACATTTATTAGTGCAGATTTGTGATGTGAGGAGGAGCCTGTATGAGCGGTGAGTGTTGGAAATATGTCGACTCTGAAGCTAGTTTTTGTCATTTGTTATGGGTTAGCTGCTGTAGCTCCCGCACATAAACAGACTGTTTTCTATTGGTCTGTTCTAAAGTGACTATATTGGCCGTATATTTGCTACTGGACCTGCACTGATATGTAAATGAGCTGTGAATAGAGGTGTGAATTATGACCGCGGCGCACACGTATTTATGGCTAAAGGCTAATAGCGCTACTTTCTTTACTAGTTATGGGTCCGTCGCGAACGAAATGGCTCTTAGAGCCGGCTCTTTGAAGGGAACGACGGGAGCCTGATCCTTATTGGGAGCCGTGTTTTCTCTTTCTCTCACTTTTTTTCTCTTCACGCCGCGTGCAGATTCGTGGTTTGACAGCGGCAGCGGCTAAAAACGAAACTTTGAGAAATTTGCGTGTACGTAGGATTAAAAAAAAAAAAAAAAAAAAAAAAAGAGCATATTTGACTGTAGTTTAGCATAAAATAAATAAGTCCCGGTTTAGTCCTTTTTCAGTCCTGGTTTAGACCTGGTTCAGTCCTGATTCAGTCCTGCTTTAGACGTGCTTTAGTCCTACTTGCAACAAAATAATCTGAAGAGCCACTTGGGAGCCAAAAGAACCAGCAGCTTTTAGTGAGCCGAGCCAAAAGAGCCGGTTCTCTAAAAAGAACTGGAATACCCATCACTAGTGTCTAGAATGTGATGCAAAAATGCCATTAAGCCAATCTACTGTCAGTAAATATGATGTAAAGAGGCAGAAAACAATAAATGTTGCCTAAATAAACCCAATTCAAAATCCACCAGAGCCAAACCTAAGTTTTTTAAACAATTCAACATTTACAGTGAATTTTTACATCACTAAATATATCGGCGATTATATCGGCTATCAGCAGCTCCAACTCCCATTATATCGGTTTCATATCGGCCACAGCAAAATCCATATCGGTCGGGCTCTAATTATAACACAGATCAGAAAATACAGAAATATGGGCCCTTTAAACCTGCTGGAACACCGTGATATTTTTCTGGGAAACATCTCAACATTCTCTAAAACCAGGACAGATCTCAGGATGTACACATGCTCTGAACTCGAAAGCCACTTTTTCACTTGGTAAGATGCTCTGACAGCAGATAATGGTAAGTGCAGAACATGGAGAATCAGACCTGTATAGTGCGCCATGTACTTTCTGCTACAATACACACAGGGTCACTATGGCAATCTTGTTTAATCAGAAGAGTATGCAACCATGTACCACAGAATCATATTTACAGACCTTTACTTTCACACCTCCATGGACATAGTCTCTCTTTTTTTAAGCCCCAGCTGCGAGTAGCTACTGGACACTATTTCACAAGCATACAATTCCCCACTTACGTTTTTGACCAGTGACAAACCCCTAGACCCTACAACTGCCAGTCATCATTAAAACACACTGAGCACATGGACAGGTGTAAGCATTCAACTCAAAGTGACATCATAAGAAATACACTGACAAAACCAACAATAAAAACACAAATAGGAACAAAGCATTTTGAACTATGTGAATGAAACAAAACATAACTCCAGGTATGTTTTTGGCAAATAGGGACCTTTAAGGGACTACACACTAAAGGAAGCCATATGTGCCTTGCATTTGCACATTGACAGTGACCATAATGGCAAAGTGGGATAATATGGAGATGAAGAGCCCCAGAGGGAGTGTGTCTGCCTGGTTACTGGTTCTGCCAATACACAAACAGACACAAAGACTGGGGCTGTGAAGAAAACTATAATTAGACTGTACTATTTTAATTCAAATAAACACAAAAAATAAACACAAGCCTGAGTTGTGTTTATAATATTCCTCATTAATCATTTTCAGCCTGGTAAACGTATTTTAGAAGGTCACACATCTATTACCCTCAACTGATCGGGCTAAATCAGAAGTGATTGAGTGATACGCTTCAGAGATTTGGCCAGTGTTTGTTTTTCTTCAAGCGTTTAACTCAAGGGGAAGATTTCAAAAACAAAAAAGCACATTTATATTTGTGTCATGTGTCCCTATGTGGGTTCAGACCAGGAAAAATGCTATGATGTAAATGAAATGAAACTGAAAATGCCATTAAAGCACAAAACTATGAAAAATGTCTGTATTTTTAATGAAAGTTTGTGTAATTTACCAAATTACACATAAAAATAATACTCTGTTCCTTGATGATACAAAATTAAATAAACAGAAATACACAGAGGAACAAGGCTAGACACAAATCACCAAACGCAATTAGCATGAACTCGAGGTTTACTCATTAGGGATCTGGGACAGTGCAAATGATAACTTTATATTGGAAAAATAAACAGAGCTGTGTATTGACTTAGCCACCACCCTAAGCAATTCACAGAAATGTGTATTTTTGTTATATAAAGAAAAGACTGTTTTGCATTAGATAACAATTTTCAGACAATATTTTAACAATGCATCAGTAATGTGCTAAAATGTCTCTTTAAATATCTTGGTTGATGTTCAAGTATTGCACAAACATGAATGGACCATAATATTAACCATAAATGTTTAAAGTTTTGTAAAGTTAAAAGGCCTATATTACACTACTTGCTGAATTATATAATGATGCTGTTTCCTCATCAAAAACATACCTGGGGTTCTGTTTTGTTTCATCCACACATATTTATATAACATACACACATATATATATAACAGACAAACCTTTATATTTTGGCTGAGTTCTTCTCTCAAACTGAAAAAAACCCACCTCCACTTTTTGTGAAGTCATGTGGTAATACAGGAAGTGCTCCAGAGTGTTTTTAAACTCCATACACTTTCACTAGAATTATTTGGATCATTTCACCCCTGGAATTGCCAGTCTCTACTGAACTAAATGTAAAAGGTAGCTGTTAACTTGAAAACTAAAACCACATGACATCACAAAGTGGAAAAGAGCATTTTAATCTGTAGATAGCAGACAAAGCAATAATGTGGGATTACATAAACATGTGTGAATGAAACAAAACTCAACTCTACATATGTTTTTGAGTAGGTAACAACATTATAACATGGCTCAAAGCTCACAAGAGTCAATTTTGCATAATATAGGACTTTTAATGTCTCTTTTAAGGTCATTTTATATTTGTTGATATTCTCATTTTGCAACATTTGTAACATAACACAATCTTTCAATATATCCTCTACTTCTGTACCTCACCCCTAGTCTCTCTAAAACCTTGGTCTGTCCTACTAAAGGCAAGGGCTACAAGAGTCCACATTGAGTAATTGCCTTGATTTAAATGACTTTTTCAATTATGTCTACTTGGCTACAGCTAGTGCACCGTAATCTCCATTATTTCCATCCATTACACACTCACAATCCCTTGACACCAATCAATCTAGTTTCTTTTAAACACTTCAGCACAGTGGCACGCCATTGCCCCTTAATAGCACTGACTTCAAGAGCTACGCCAGAAACTTTCTAATTAGCAGTTATAACCAGTGTAGACAGTCTCATAGGTTTAATACATACAACCATGTCTTACCTGTTCTTTGACGGAGGCCAGGATAGAGGAGGTGGTCTCGGACTCAGATCTGTCTCCGTTGGACGAGGGCATCACTGGGGGCACCATAGCCCCCTTCTCCTGTTCGGCTGGTTGGTCTGGTACCGGCATTTCTGATCACACAATAAGAAATAAATATGAGTAATTTTACCTGGTACAAAGATGTCAGACACTTTGATTTGAATGAACCATAACTTTATTCCGGCTTGGTACATTTTGTAAGATCAGTTTCACAATAAATTCAGTGAAGTTGTGATGTGACCACATTTGGACACATCTGATCCAATACAATATTTGTAAAGAATAACATATTTTAACAAGTGTCCTTATAAATTAAAAGTACACTGTGTACATTTCTGTTATATTTGTTTTTCCTGAAATATTCTAATGTGTGGCATGTTTAAGTGTTTTCATGGAGACAAGCAGCCCACATCACCAGGCCAAGTCACAGGTCAGGTCAGGTTGTAGAGAAGTGGACCCGCTCACAGTAATAATGCATGTATTTGGAGTAGTTTTTAGGAATAAAAGCACCTGTAATTGAATAAATAGAAGTTATATTTGTTTAATGGGGTAATATGGAACATCCTTGGCAAAGCAATAACATCACCATGGAGACATGTAGATGGTGGACCCCCATCAGGAAAGTTACACAATACACCAAAAAGGAAGTAAAACAAGTAAACAAGTAAAGCTTTTATAGTTACTCAAATGGTACATGTTTACCACAACAGTTTCTATTCCTTCATTTCAAGGTAATGTCTAAAACTAGTGCATTATTATATTTTTCGGCTAGATTACTTGTTGACAAGCTATGTTCATATGTTTTGTCAGCGCTGTCCAATTAGACTCACAAATACTGAGAGCTCATGTGTGTAAATGGTCACCAGTGCTGAAATATCTAACATGTGGTTAGAGCTTGTGGCACAGCAAAGCATAGCCTTGTCTTGGCAATTAGTGTGCAGTACACACTTCACTGCATTATTCTTCCCACCTGTGTCTATGACTGTATGTCCCTTAATAAATAGGGGTCCGTGTAGACTCATTAAAATGTGATGCTTCACTTATCATGGTTTTAATTACTTGATACAGGTTACAGGGAAATGATGGGTGGCAGTTTTGTTTGAAGAGGGGCAATTTCATATCCAAGTCACACATTCCTTTGTGCTTGACTGCTTTCCAGTGATTGGCATGTGCACACAAAATACAAAGGGATTTTCTCTGTAGTAAATAAGGCTTATAGCGAGCAAATTTGCCAGGACCTTTGCTCTGTTTTTTCCCTGCATTAATTGTTCCCATTTAAATAATCGATAAAAGGCGTCTTATTCTCCCGCTCGTGAGCTGGAAGCACGAACAATGAGAAAGGAAGAGAGTGAGAAACCAGGAAATTGGTGTGCGGGTTTAATAGACAACAGACTATGGGGACAGGATTTGTCAATAGTGCATCCCTGACTTTGGCAGAAGACTAAATAATGAGCTGATTGAATTGGGGATTTAAATCCATTTCATTTGCTTCTCAAACACAGTCAACATTTGATGTGAAAACAGGATTGTGTGCTCTATGTGATTTACTCTTTAGACGTAATATTATGTCTGGCTGCCTGCAATGATACTGGTCATATTGTTTTGCATTGTTTTGATATTCATTTCAGATATTCCAATATTAATCTACAAGATAGGGGTTCCCATAGTGGGATTCTGAGCTGGGGGTTGCAATATGGTGATAGAAATCGAACTGTGATCTCATTAGTGAGACTATAATATGGTATTTGGATCAAGTTAGCATATCAAGGCAATGTAAAGATACTGATTTGACATGAATTAAGATCAAATTAAAATTATGATCTGGCTTCAAGAAAATCCATTCCTACTTGAAGACATAATTGAAAAAGTATGTCACTATGACACTAATCTGTTTTTTCAGTCAGTTGCATGGTACAATTAGCCTGTCACGATAAACAAAATTTGAAGCACAATATATTGCTACAGAGAAAAATAACAATAAACTGAAACTGCTTTAGTACAACAACAACAATAATCCCAATAAACTATTATTAAAATAAACTGTATCATTAAAGGGCCATAGCTGTAACAAATAAATAATAACATGCAAAAAAAAAAAAAAGCGATAATTACCATAAAAGTTACTTATTCAACCCTCTACAACTCAAATCTTATCGTATCACTACAAAAATAACAGAAATCTCCCCATTACTGCATACAGTAAATACTGAGTAGTGGTAGGAGACCTAATCTCACACAGGCCAAACTTCACTGTCCTTAAGCATCACTGGCTGCAGAGCCCCAAGAGCACAGTCAATTCTGTTTTATACTCACCAAACTTGTATTACTATGCTAGCCAGTCATTTCTGCTTTTAACAAGCCAGAACACTGTGTATCCCACAAACAGATGCCACAATGAAGAGAATTTGTTTTTAGTTTTCATTTACAACTTTATGGCATTATATACACACTCATATCGCGAACTGAATGAACTTTTATGACGTTAAACAGTTGAGTTTTAAAGCCAATATTTATCTAGTTCCGACATTATGGGTCTTTGAGAATAAGTGAGCCATTAGTGTCGACAAATGGTAAACAAGTGCGCAGGGCTCCAGACAGGCTGCAAATCAAACATCCCGCTAGTCTATCACGCAGCGTGCTATAGCCAGCAAACTGACAGCAGGCCAAATAGGGTGGTGTCTGTAAATAAAAGATGTTAGGGAGATAGCCCACAGATGGATATTTTCACTCGCACTGACAAACACCAATTCAGCGTCTGGCATCACCCCTCCTGAGTGAAGATGAGTCACCCAAGTTTGTCTGGTGAGCAAGCCACAACCCCCTTTAAACGCTCTATTAGACCGGCTGGACCTGAGCCATATCTGTTTCTATGAGGGAAGAGGAAGCTGCTCATCATCACTTAGAAAACATCTTGAGTCAGCATATCAGCGTTATGACAGTCAACAAAGAGAATGTGATTTGTCTCTGTAGCACCTGTTACTGAGGGTGGTGTATAGGCTACCATGCAACGTCAACACAGAATTACACATGTCATGAGAACACACTTTGGAGTGCGATATATTGCTGATGTAAATATAGACGATAAATGATAATAGTGAAAGAATTTTATGCCACTGACACAATAACCCAAGAGCAGATTTAAACCATAAAAACTATTCTAAATGCACAATATTGTCTGAGCTTCAAGAAATAAACAGAAAGAATGTTACTGAGTTATTAATTAAAACTTATTCTTGTCATATAACTAAAAAATAACCAAACATTTTCCATTTGTGTAAGAGTATTTGAGTATTCCACATTGGAACAAGTACATTGCACAAACATCAGTTTTTTTCTCTTTATCCAATATCTTTAAAACAGCTCTTTAAAAATGATCTTGCATAATGCTTATTGTACACTATATGTCACACAACTTAAATAGACAAAAAGTTCCTATAACATATTTCAAAGTATGAGAGAAATAGTGTGATAAATGATAATACTGAAACTGCTTTATGTCACTGACACAATAATAATGCAAGAATATCCCAGTAAACCATTTTTAAATAGACAAAATCATAAAAAGGCCTGAGCTGTAGCAAATAAACTGCAGAATGAACCAAGAGCCATAAAAGTTATTCAATGCACTACAGCTAAAATCGTATTGTATTCCAACAAAATTACCCTAAATCCCCACACTTTTACAGAATAAATATTGAGTCATAAAATATACTGCTCCGCCTGTCATATATTGAATGATAAGTTCATACAGTAATTATTGCGACAGGCCTAACTTGAGAAATCTTGTGCCCATCTGCAGGAGTCTGTGTTCATCACAACTGGTTCAATTAAAAGAGCTATGGTGAACTAGCAACAGATGGACCAGACCAGGAGTAAATGTGGCATATTACTGCAGGTAAAACCACATATATTAACAGTGCATTTCATTGTAATACACAATGCAGTGTTATGTTAGCAAAATTTGGCTTGTCATAACGTTGTGCCTAGTCCCGTTAGACTGGAACCCATTAAACGCATGAAGACTGTGAAACTGCTTTGACAATGGTTTCTGCTCTTGGCACTGACTGGGTGAATTATAGCTTTGGTTTTAGTTCTGCAAAATGGTAAATGTGTTTAGGAAAAAAGCATGAAAGTTTGAGGCAGGAAACTAAAAACTGTGACGCTTTGAAAGTAAATGTACAAATGCCCAGTTTTCTGCAATACAGCTACACAAAACCCAACTACATTATACACTGATATCTGTGACTACTTGGACATTGTCTAAAAACCTTCCAGAATATGTTTTTACAATACATTTTATCAAGTGCAGCTGGTTCCAATGAAAGACACAGCAAAACAAACTCAGGACAATTTTCTCCCTGTGTCATAATTGATATTTTCTGCTATGATTCTGCTGTATTTTCTTGCTGGTGTAAGCTTGCCCCAACCTGTATATGCCATTAAATCTCACAATACTACGAGACTAGTTTCTGTCTGTGCTATTGTATGGAGACACAGTAGAGCTGGTATTTAATAGATGCGCTGTGTCCTGCAGGGTACAATGTAGCAGGAACCTATGTTCACAGAAGGCTTTTGTACCTCTGGGGATGAATATAATTGAAGCGCATTCTTTCTGGATGGAGTTTTGTGCAGCTTCAGATTGAACTGAGAACGAATGATAGTCTGACATTTCATTTAGCTTAGCGGAGATAAGACAGCAAAAGCCCAGGCGTAGCAGGCTGTTTTTGACAGCAGACAGAAGGACTAGCATAAGTACAGAAGTCATCAGCTAATGTGTAAAGCTGCACAATAAAGTGGGGAATAACAGAGTATCCTGATGCACCTATAGGGAAGTCAAAATAAGTCATTTCATTTTTTTAACTAGCTGCATGTCACATTGTTTTCTTTCACTTAACATTGGCATCATAACGCTGGCCCTCTAGGTGAATACTGATCTTTTAGTCATTGCAAACAAAGTAAATCACACCAATTGCACACTAATCGCAAAACCTTAATGTAAAGTTAAAGGGCCCACATCATGCAATTTTCTCATCTATGTTATAATGTTGTAGCCAGGCTGGCACCACCTAGTGCCTCCACTCAATTTAATTTC